TATGACTGATGAGCTGTAATTTGGCTCAGCCTCCCTGTAGAGACTGATCGGAATTACTTTACCCTCAGTCAAGTGTGCACTACTTGTTTGCTTTTATGGCACTAGCAAGAGGTTTTTTCTTTTTGTAGTATGATGTGGACCAGAGTGGAAAGTATATATCTCATCCCTTCATACAGTGGGTGAGCGAGAAAGAATATTTATTACATGTGTGATTAGATGGACTGGGAAGGGGCGCAAGGGTCAGAACTACTGAGATTGGCCTGATTCCAGTATAATATGTCTATGTGGAGAAGGGAAGCTTATTGCTTAATAGAGGCCACAGCTCTTAGGAGTGTGTTGTGGTACAGGAAGGCAATATCAAGCTGAAAATATGAAGGAATGAGAGAACACATGAATATATCTGCCAGGAGAATTTACGGGGATATGTACTTTATAGATTATGATCTTTCAGACACGCCAAAATAGAAAGACATAAAGTATGTTTCTTGTTTTACAGATAGGGAACTTGATATTGTTCTGGATTTGTTGGGAAGGCAAAAGACCTAACATTGCCCACTAAATGGATAACTTGATTTGAAAGTGTTCAGCTCCAGTAAACTGGTATTATAAATTGAAGTTATATTTTACTTATTACAAAAAATGATTTAGTAATTAATTATAATTATAATAACTATAACGTCATTATGCTCACATCCATATGTATCACCTTTCGGCATGAGGCGACTCGTTGCATTTTTGAAACAGGTATTGCCATGAAAATGCTGATAGCATCTGTTAAAGCAACTAGAAAAGCATCTTTATGATGGCTATTAGTATGCCTGCGCATCACTGTGTACCACTGTCCATGACAAACAATATAGAAGTTATTAGAAAGCTCACAAAAGCGTGTACGTTTGCACTGAAAAAAAGAATGCACAGACGTTTAAATTATAGCATAGAAAAGGCAGCTATCAAAGACCTACTAAAAACACCCTCTGTTCACAGACGCACAAAATCTCATACAAAAGTGATGCTTCTAATTTTAGCAGGCATGTTATGTCTTCATTTTAGTTCTTGTCTACATGCAAAATCACACCAATTAAAGCAAAGTTGAACAGCATGTTCCTGGCACTCTGCCATGCAATATTTGAAGGGAATAAATGGCCAGCCAGTAGCGGGAATGAATTTCATTAAGGAGAGAAAAATGTAAGAATTATTTGCTGAAGCCATAGGCGTTTAACATGAATCAAGTCAGGAACTAAAGGACAATGTGAAGTATCTCTGTACTCTCCTTTATTTGAGTAATTATTTTAGAAATACACTGTTTGGTCTTATTTTGATTAACTGTAATTAAAAAAAGATGTTTTGAAATGCTTTCATGTCATCAAACTGCCCCTTTTGATGCCCATAGCTTTCTGATTGTAACACAAAATGGAGATTTACATTAAAACAACTTTTTAAATTTGGGTATTTTCTAAAGCTTGTCTGGTGAAACTGGTACAGTCCTGGGAAGAACTTTGATTTCTCAGGGTATCAGTACTGTGATAAAGCAGTGAGACAGATTGCACTAGAGGTGATGGATTTGCTCCCATTTTGTAAATATTGCCCTGGTAGCACTTTCGTGTGATACCAAAAGTCAATGCTATCAAAATAATCACCTAGTTCAAAATGAATAACCAGTGTAAAAATATGTCCAAACTCTATAGATGTTACAGGGCTCATGGACTAGACCAGTAAAACTGCTTCATTCTGAGGCTTAAACCATGGAGTGTGGATTGCCTCTGCTTTGTACTTTTAGTATCAATTAAACTTCTGCCTCTTCTTAATTTCAGAAGAATAATCATTATCATGCTGTCTAAAAAACTGAACTTATAGGTGGAGCAATGTTCAGGTAACCGAATTCAGATGGAATAAAAGGCTAGCTGGGGGCTTCATACCAGATATTGATAATGGCAAGTGGGAAAAATGCTTCAGATGCCTTTGTTCTATGGCACTTTTGTAAAATGTTTTAGGACGGTCCATTTTTTTTTTTTCTTAATATGGAAGAGGCTAAATGAGCTATACAGGCACTAAGCAATACTCCCACCAATGTAACAGCCATGTTTCAAAAAATATCCTTATTCATCCTCCTCCTTTGTTAGAAAAGAATGTATTTGAGAGACTACAGCATGCCTTGACTTAAACAAGAATAAACTCAGGACTCTACTGGCTACTCCTACAGAGTAACATTCAACAGCTTTATTTATGAGGATGAATACTACATAGTATGTTTAGTAATGTAAATAAATCAGGTTAAAATTAATTAGGTAATTTGTTAATGAAAGAAATTGCAATGCTAGCACTTTAAATATTTCACTT